CTCTATACGATGGTGAAAACCGCAGGCCGCTAAGACCTTTCGTTAAAAAGTTATTTGAAAAACGGCAACCGGCACGACCTTTCCGTTTCGATAGTAGAGAAGAAACCTTTTTTGGCACTCTACGCAGTAGAAAAAGGTTGAATAAGACAGTGAAAATGGGTTTCCGTTTTTTTCCGGATTTTAGGATTATGATTCTCGATTTCTAACTTATACGGGCGGCAACTCTGGTCCTAGCGTACCTTAACCGTTCTTCGTCTGTTTCCCTTTATTAGCCATTAAAGATAGCTGTCAGGAGTCACTTAAAGTGGCTTCTAACGGCTGTCGTTGACGGCTGGCGGAAATAAAAACAACCCCACTCTCCTTCTTTAACTAAAAAAGACTACGGTCATTGCTAAAAACTGATTCGATTCCACTACAACCAATGAAAAATCGATTTAACGTCTTTATAATTTCCAGTTCCCAAAACAACTTTTTTTGTCAAATAAATGTGTAAATAGTTGGATCAAATAGGATCGATCCGAATCGATCCAAAAGAAAACCAGTTTGTTTGTGAATGATTTAGGCCTCTGATACCTTTATCTGTCTATCATTATGGCTTCTTATTAAAATATTACATACACTTACCATTGTTCATCATCTTTATTGTATGGATATGACATGAACTGTTCAAAAAATCTCTTTCTAAGGTGCGATTATTTGAATTCTTTTTAGTAAGGTTAGCCGTGACAATTAAATACAGCGACTAGATGAACGGCATAAGCGTCCAATTGTGTAGATTGTTTGTTCATATTAAATGATGAGCTAGGTAACACTGAATTCGAATTTTATCCGAAATTTTTTTTTATTAGTGAGAACCTTACTGTACGACCCAGTAATGAGAAGTTTTCGCTTCGAAGAAAGTTCATAGGGAAAACTGAAGAAGATTTCTTTTAATTTTATTATCTATATTTATCTAAATTGTTAGTCTATTTTATTTTTGTTCCGTTCAAATTCAATTCTTTATTTCATTTAAATTTGCTTTGGGAGAAGAGGAAAAAAAGTTCCAATAAAGAAAATTTTGTCTTTTTCTATGTTCGTACGGAACAAGAAAGAGAAAAAACATGAAACTGTTCGTTTTACACAAAAATTTTTTTCATTCCTGTTAGTTTATGTACTATGTAGTCCATGAATAACCTAACCTATTAGAGTCAATATCGATATTGATGAAATATAGCGATAAAATATCGAAATATTTCTCTTTTCTTTTTGGTGAAACAAAGTTATTTAAATGTAAATGTGTTTTGCATGTACGCATGACTACTATTCACTCTCTGTTGGCTAATTTATAATTGAGAATAGCATATGTAACAGATAGAAAGAATCGTTGTTTTTATATTAACTTCTATAGACAAGAAAAAGCATATACCTGCACGAGTGAATTGATTCTTTTACTTTTATTCTAGATTATTTGTTTTTCTTTCGTTTACCGTTGTTTTGTCACCATTAGAATGTAAGCTTTTACGCTGATTTGACTTCAGTACATAATCTTATATCTAATTTTTTAGTCGAAAAACACTCAAATATGAATTCATTATTTGTCAATATTTTTGGACTTATTTTTGTTTATTTAACTGTAATAGCATCAGGTAAATGCAACGTCTTATTTGATGAATCTTGCGTTCTAGTCTCGAAACTGTTGACTATAAAAATTCAATTCAATTCGAAATTAACAATACTGACAGAATTTATTTCGAGGAAGTTTTTTTGAAATATTGACAAGATAGAGATGAAAATGATCTTAAATGTCAACGGCACTAGCTAAATAACTATATTTTTTATGTTATAAGCTATTTATTGAAAGGAAGAAATTCATGTACTTGTGTCCAGCAAAAGAGGGAACAAGTCCCCATTATTATTGATGGTGACACAAGGAACATAGATCAATCCAAAAAGATAAAACAGCTGAGTGAAGAACAAAAATAAAACAAATATATAGTAGAATATTTTTTATGCTTATTTAAATTTCTAATTCAGCATGGTATTTTGTTCGCAACTGTTTCTCTTTTGAGAAAAGCGTCTGAAGTGGACAAATTCATATATTTCTCTTCTCACTCTAGTTTATTGTATTGATTTAAATGGTGAAACAGTGACGAAAGAAGAATTGATTGCCCTCACTCGTGATCATTATGGACGTACAGATCCCGATGCCTTATTAAACGGATTCTTTCCAGTTTGGGCAGTTATACAATTTTTATTGGCATGTACGTATGATGTATCATCAGATTTTGATTGCATTGATCTTTTTCTTTTACTTTATTTTTAGGTTTCTTTTTTGTTATTGCCATACTGAGTTTAGGATGTTATTTAGCTGGTTGTCGAACACCACCAGAAGATCAAATTAAACGAGCAAAATAAAATCTTGTCTTTTTCTATATAAAAAAAACTATAAATTCGGCAGTGTCAATTATTTTTGTCGTTCTTTTTAGATTTTTCTGAATCAAAAAAGATCTGCAAATCTCAATACAATTTTTTTTTAGTTCACTAAGGATGTTTTTTTTAATTTCATTTACAGCAATTGTATTTTTAATATATCTTTGCATTTTGTAGATTTTGTTTTTATTTTTTTAAAAATGACATCTACCTTTTTTTTATATAAAAAGTATTCATTTTCTTGTATTTTTTAGTTCGATAGTTAAGATTTAAATGTCCGTTTATTATGTTAATCTATTTCTCATACTTTTTTACTTTTCTGGTTCTTTTGTTTTTTGCCTTTAACATAGTTTTTAGTTTCTTTTCCTCCTTTTATTCGAGGTAATAGTCTGAATTGATACTATAAAATACTCAATGCTAATTTAAATAAAAATAATACGATAAAAAGCATCAGGACTAGTAACCTTCTTTAACTCACAATTAGTGTTAAAAAAACGTCAATGATTTCATTAATGTTCATGTTATTCTAAATTTAAATTCATATTTAGAATGATTCCATTTTGTTATTTTTACATTTTAGAGACTACTGTCATCTTTGATCAAGAGTTCATTTCAATGTCGACCGACGTTAAATTTGTACTAGATGAATTAAAACAAGGTATTCAATATTCCAATATACTAAAGATAACATATGATGAAACACCAATTAATAACGATGATCTCTTAGAAGAAAATAAAACTCAAATTATGCCATCTGTTGAAATCGATGATGCCAACACAGATCCAAAAAAGAAGTTTTTTACGGTGATTATGTGTGATCCCGATGCTCCAAGTGAAAAAGATCCAAGCAGTGGACCCTATCTTCATTGGGTGCATGCAAATAGTACAAAGTTTAATTTAAGTGATGGGTCTATTCTCTGTGAATATGACGGACCGGGACCACCAGCAGGAACTGGAACACATCGATACATTTTTTTCTTATATGAATCAGACAAAGAAATAAAAAATCAAAAAATTAACGATAGCGAACGTCCGCAATTTAAATTAAAAAAATTTGTAAACGATAATGGTTTAAAATTGGTTGCTGCGACGAATTTCAAAGTGAATGCAAGCAAAAGCTGATATATTCAAAAATTTTAATTTTTATTTCATTTTATTTTCCATGTCATTCAAGCAGATAGTGTCAAGGTTTTTCAACACTTAGTTTTTTTTTGAATAAAATCTAGACACGTAGTGCAAAATTTTGCACTGTAGATTAATATGTGAAATAATAAGTAGAATGCAGAAAACGACTTTTCTCATGAAAAATTCGTGTAGCGTGATACTTCACTGAAATACCACATTTATAAATATATGACTGTCCTTCTTTCCGCAATATCACAGGAATTGACAGAAAAATTTGAATTAATTGCAGCCTAGCAGATAATATTTTAACATGATAATGAGTACCAAGTTATGATATTTTTGACATGTATGAACGATTTTCCCCAAAAAATATTTATTGAAAACACGTTAGCATACGCTATATTCTCAAGCGTTTTTTGTTACTATTTAACAGATGTGAAATTTAAGTTCAAAAAATATGTGAATTACGATCATGATTTTCTTCAATTCACGAAGAACTCATTCTTGTGAGTACGAATCTGATCTGCATATTCTATTGTGAGGTCTATAATAGTGAGCGAATTATTCATAAGATTTGCAATAATATGTCAGATGAAAATATGAGAGAAAATTCACGCAAATAGTTGTAAAAACTTTCATTTCTCTAACATCACCGACAGAGAAAATGAAGTTTAATTATCGTTGTCTGCTCAATATTATACGTACAACGGTTTTCTTTTAAGAAAAAAGATCGTTGGTTGACTTGAATTTAATTTCATCTCCGAAACTATGGAATCACAACCTTTATTCTTCATTTTTTTTCTCGACCGTAATAGCTAAAAGAAATTCAGAAAAATGATTTATGCAGCTGAAAGGGTTTTTAACTCGAAAGAGTGCCTGTGAGTACATCGAAATTACTAAACTCACAAATTCTAGAAAACTAACCAGAAGGATTCATGCGAGAAAAAAATATCACTCAGGTTTTCCTGTATTGAAAAGTTATTCATCTTTTTGTTTTGCATAACAAGAATCATAAATGTCACGTCACCGTGGCATAAGCGGTAGTGTCAGCACAACCTGCGAGTACAAACTGAATTAAAATTTATAAAATTTTCCAAAATAGTGAAACACACGCGAGAAACATTTTAAAAATTTCTTGAGATTCTCACGTACTTTCCGTAAAAATTCCTCGCGGTTCCATAATGGGAATCCCGTGAGTATTTTGTATAGATGTCGACTAGAGCTTAAGCCATTTTGCTCTTTTTCTGTCAGTTTTTCTAGTTTTGGCGGGAGTGGAGCCCTTTGTGAATGAATTGAATTTAATCCAAACATGTGGATAGTTCGAAGACATCTTTTTTTCAGAATTGTTTACTCTATTCCAGTGAGACGTTTGCAAAAAATTTCTGATCGAATGGAATGACTTGGTTCTGTAGGATAGTCATTTGAATTATTGATGGGTAATAAACGAAGTAAAAATAAGATTTTCCTATACGATGATAGATAAATAGAAAGAAGACGAATGGTCTTTTTCTTTTACGAAACTGAAAGAAAAAGAAAAGCATGGCTTATTTCTCCTTGTTTCTACTTTCCGTTTCATCTTTGTTTCATGTATATATGAGAGAAACGTAACTTTCTAATACAATCACTTGTTTAGATATATTTCTATAATAAATAACTCAGGTTATAAGAGGCTCGCTTGAGCAAATTTTTTCCTGTGCGTTGCCTAGTACTTTGCCTACTTCCACAAAAATTTTCTTCCCGATACGTCCTTTCGTTGCAAAGTTATGGGACTCGAAAGTTGAAAAAACTTAATTTTCTGATGACTTATCATCTGAAAACTGAATTTTTGATTATATAAAAAGATATAAAAAGAGAAGAAAAGCAGCGCATCCTGTAGAGAATTGAATTGTGAATCTAACCATATGATTAGTGTTCAACTTTGTTTACTTTTTTTTGTTGTTCTTTAGATATAATCATTTTACAAGCATCTTTTCCGGTTTTTGTAGACCGAC